GCCCTCTCGCGGCTCTCCGCTGTGTCCCATCCATGCGGGACCAGGACTGGCATGGCGGGTCTCCCTTGACTGATGGGAGAGAGAGATCGGCAGGCTTCCAGCCGCTGATCTCTCGTCCCCCGTGAAAACCTACCTGCTAATAAATTGTTTCATTACAAGTTAGTTTTGCCAGGCTATAAAACTAATACCTAAATACAAGAACCAGGTCTTACTTCAATCTTGGCATCTGTCCTGTATTTTTTTTGTATACCAGTGGAGTAACAGTACATGAATGTACCTGTGGGACAGAGCTTCCTGTAATAAAGACCTGTCATTGATGTTCTCTTCTTGTACAGGGTGACTGGTCTTGTATCCGCCCCCTCCTGTAGGGGGTGGGGCCTACTGGGCCTCTCCCACATCTCTGCTCTCTATGTACAGTATATTACTAAACACATATAAAAGTGGAAATGATGGGCAGCGGGAGACTTTTCTATAAGGACGAGCTTTGTGTGTCAGTGTAAGTACCGCGGAGCTCGGCCAGGGAGGAGCGGAGGACTCCTCGGTGTACTCCGTGTTTTAGGAGGACATGATGCCGCTGTCACTCACCTCCCAGGCAGCAGCTGGTGACTCTTCTCCGCTCACCTCCCCACCTCAGGCGACAACAACTTCCACACAGCGCTCCCCCTCCTCACATCACGACCGGTCCCCGGACCCCCCCCAGGCCGCCGGGCTCACGGCACGCTGCCTCCCCCCTCCACAGTGCGCATCCGAACCGGCCGCCGCCAGCAGCACTAGGCATAGAAAGTGCGTGAAGGATCCCCAGCTGATTGACGGCCCTTGTCAGGTGCGCCGCCGCTGATTGGCTGAAGGCGGGAGAGGGCAGCACAGCAACCATTTTCTGATTGGCCAGAGGTGGTGGGCACCGGGTGACAGGCACTTTGCGCATGTCGGACGGCCAATGGGAGAGCAGGGCGGGTACGCTAGCGTCAGAGTGACGTCAGAGGGCGCTGTGTACCTGAGAGCTCCTCCTGACAAGTGTACAATGAGCACTTCTCTGGTGCCTGTTATATGTGTGTGTGGAATATAACTGAAATAGCAGTGCATGGAATGAAGGGGACACGGCTGCTCCGGTGCTAATGTGATATATAAAATAAAACAAATATATTTCGGTTATACTGAGAAGGTTTGGAGGCTGCCATTGCTGAATTCTGAAGTGTATGAGTAGCCAAAACCTTTTATTTAGAGAGCTGGGAAAGGTTAGAAAAAACCGCTGGGTTATATTTGTGAAGGGGGGCTTCTGATGTAATGAGGGGCTTCTGATTTGAGGAGGATCTTCTAGTGTGAGAAGGGGGACTCTGATTTGAAGGGGGGGGGGGGCTTTTGATTTGAGAAGGGTCTCCTAGTGTGAGAAGGGGGACACTAATTTGAAGGGAGGGGCTTCTGATTTGAAGAGGGTCTCCTAGTGTGAGAAGGGGGACACTAATTTGAAGGGAGGGGCTTCTGATTTGAAGAGGGTCTCCTAGTGTGAGAAGGGGGACACTAATTTGAAGGGAGGGGCTTCTGATTTGAAGAGGGTCTCCTAGTGTGAGAAGGGGGACACTAATTTGAAGGGAGGGGCTTCTGATTTGAAGAGGGTCTCCTAGTGTGAGAAGGGGGACACTAATTTGAAGGGAGGGGCTTCTGATTTGAAGAGGGTCTCCTAGTGTGAGAAGGGGGACACTAATTTGAAGGGAGGGGCTTCTGATTTGAAGAGGGTCTCCTAGTGTGAGAAGGGGGACACTAATTTGAAGGGAGGGGCTTCTGATTTGAAGAGGGTCTCCTAGTGTGAGAAGGGGGACACTAATTTGAAGGGAGGGGCTTCTGATTTGAAGAGGGTCTCCTAGTGTGAGAAGGGGGACACTAATTTGAAGGGAGGGGCTTCTGATTTGAAGAGGGTCTCCTAGTGTGAGAAGGGGGACACTAATTTGAAGGGAGGGGCTTCTGATTTGAAGAGGGTCTCCTAGTGTGAGAAGGGGGACACTAATTTGAAGGGAGGGGCTTCTGATTTGAAGAGGGTCTCCTAGTGTGAGAAGGGGGACACTAATTTGAAGGGAGGGGCTTCTGATTTGAAGAGGGTCTCCTAGTGTGAGAAGGGGGACTCTGATTTGAAGGGGGGGGGGGGCTTTTGATTTGAGAAGGGTCTCCTAGTGTGAGAAGGGGGACTCTGGTTCTCTAGTTCAATTTATGAGAAAACTCTATGTTCTGGAGTCAGGGTGGAGACAGTTTTCCTGGCTGCAGCCATTGTTTGTATTATGTGTTGTTATTAGGGTCAGGTAATAAACACTCACTTTGTATGTTCACCTCCAGACTGCTAGTTGCCAGGACGGAATCTATTGTTCTCCTGGAGCGAGAAGAGCTTGTCCTGTGTTTGTTTATTTGTTTACTTCATTTGATATCTTCCTGGGACTGGTAACGGCTCAGTCACACTAGATGCAGTGCGTTCCGGCCCGAATTTGCATTGCGGCCGGCTCACTTTTTAGTGGGGTAGGAGGGGGCGTGAATGGCGCCGTAGCCACGCCCTCTGGCCGCAATGCGATCCGCCGCACAGGATCGCAAGGCACGTTGTGCCTGCGGTCCGGCCCTGTGTGGTGCTATTAAAGTAGTGCTTGTAGCATTTTGATCGCAACGCACAGGATCGGACCGCAGGCACAATGGGGGGAATTTATCAAAACTGGAGCAGAAAAATCTGGAGCAGTTGCCTATGGCAACCACTCAGCTTCTCTCTTCAGTTTGTTCAGTTAAGGTTTGAAAATGAAAGGTGGATGCTGATTGGTTGCCATGGGCAACTGCTCCAGATTCTGTCTGCTCCAGTATTGATAAATTCCCCTCAATGTGCCTTGCGATCCCGTGCAGGGGATCACATTGCGGCCGGAGGGCGTGGCTACGGCGCCATTCACTTGAATGGCCCGCCACGCCCCCTCCTACCCCAATAAAAAGTGAGCCGGCCGCAATGCGAGGCAGTGTGACTGAGCCCTAACGTGTGCCATGCTTGTTTAGGGGGAAGGTTTTGTCTATATATACTGTGTTGCAACCTATATGGAAAATGTGCTGATCAGCGCAAAAAAAAAAAATAGCTCGGGGAGCATTTTGGCTGCCAGGCGGTTCGGATTGCGCAGACCCGCACGATTGCATGAACGCTCCCCATAGGAATGTCGGTCATGTCGGCGGTTCAGCGCGGACAAATCCGCATGACCGAACCGCGCTGGTGTAAACAGGGCCTCATACTGACTAGTCCTGCCTAGTTACTAGGGGAGGTTTGGGCTATATTCACTTTCTTCCGGTTCCAGAGTAGAGGAAGTACCAGGCAGTCCATCACAGTCTCCATGTGTGAGAAGGGGGACTCTGATGTGAAGGGGGGTGGGCTTCTGATTTGAAGAGGGTCTCCTAGTAAAAGAGGGGGGACTCTAATGCAAAGGAGGGCTTCTGATTTGAAGAGGGTCTCCTATTGTAAGAAGGGGGACTCTGATGTGAAGGGGGGATAGCGGGGGTCAAGGGCCCATTCGAGGTGGCTTCAGAGAGGCCCGGGGGGCAATTGCCACCCTGCCCCCCGGCCCAGTCCGCCCCTGCACCAGACCCCCATCTGGGATAAGGGTAAAGATTTTGGAGGAACCCCACATCAATTTTCACATTTTAGACTGGGGCGCCTCAAGGTTTTGTTTGCTTATATAGGGTGCCATGGCTGAAAAAAGGTTGAGAAAGGCTGCTTAAGGCCAACCCTCCCGTCATCCCTGGATAAGCTGATCTGTTTTGCTTTCCTGTTTAGACATTTGCTTGTCTCTGCTGATGCTGGGCCCAAAATTCTGCAATATAAAAAAAGAGAACACCTTCACACCCCCGATGACATGCACATATTCTGCAATCCCAGAATAAAGATGGGAATTTAGAGTCCATTATGTACACATATAGAGAATGGAAGGCATACATCGCTCTGGTCTCTAGCGGACTCATTTTCAGTATCCTTTAGCTCATGCTACAAAGCAGAGGTTACCCGAGGACAGACCTGAGACTGTAATACACAGAAGCTCTGGGCACACAGTGTTGCAGTTCTCTGCAGTCAGTAGCGGAGCATCTAAACCCGACAGCAAAATGTAATACACTGCAGCTCACTGCTCAGATGTGGCGGCTGCATGTTTTCTTCTTCAGCTTTTTGTTCATCCTGCAAACACACTTCCTGTTGTAGACTAATGCCACCTACTCATTGTACTCAGTATATGGACCCTATACCTATATGGCCCCTAGGCTGCTCTCTGAATTTGTACTACAAACACCTCCTCTCTAATCTTCAATACATAGGGAGGAGGTGTCTTGTAGCTCACAGAAGATAGCTGGAAAGGCGGATAACATTGTTTTATATTTCTAGGGACGATGTCATGAGAAGATTTGGAGGCTGCTATTGACGGACTCTCCTGCTAGTTCCCTGGCTGGCATAGTTACATAGTATTCGAGGTTGAATAAAGATACAGGTACATCAAGTTCAACCCGTCGTGTCTGTGCATGTGATTCTGCATGTGTAGGAGTCCATGTATGATCTTGTTCTTAAGAGTACCTGTACCCCTGTATGTTACGGTCTCTGAGGAAATCATCCAAATACCTTTTGAACGATTCAATACTCCCAGCTGATACCACTGCTTGCAGCAGCGAGTTCCAGACCCTAGCCGCTCTAACTGAGAAGAAGCCCCTACGCCCCCTGTGCTGAAATCCTTTCTCCACCAATTTTAGGTGGTGGCCTCTAGTCTTTGTTATGGAGCTTACCGTAAAAAGTTTATTGCTGATGTTGCTATCACCATTGAACATCTTGTACATGAAAATCATGTCCCCCCTTAATCTCACCTCCAGCGTGAACGTTTACATTTTGTAACCTTGTCTCATAGCTTCGGTCTTCCGGCCCCTTGATTAGTTTGGTTGCCCGCCGCTGGACTCTTTACAGCTCAATGACATCCTTTCTGTGGATTGGTGACCAAAACTGGACCGCATACTCTAGGTGAGTTCGAACCAGCGATCTATAAAGTGGCATGTTATTGCTTTCACTCCAATGCCGAGTAGCTAACCTGGAACAATTAGAGAATTAAAGAGATCTGACACTTTTCTTTTTAAAGTTTTGGATAGAGTGGAGAGGGATTAGAACACCGGTCAGGTTCTTATCGCCGTCTGTGTCTCCTTTAGGGAGAATCATCCGCTTTATTTGTCTTGGAGACCGTTATCACTGAAGGGGAAAGTAAATCCTAAAGTTTGGGTTGTCATTGGAACAAGAATTGATGGGAAATCTTCCAATGGGGACACTAGTTCTTTGTGACCACCAGGGATTTCCTCTCACTTTGCAGGAATTTCCTCTTACTTCCTGTTGTGTTTATAGGACAGGAAGTGAAGCAAAATCTTTCCAATTGGACACAAATGGCAAAAAAAGCTGACTGGGGTTATAACCCTCCCTCACTCTATGCAACACTAAAAAAAAAAAAGATTTGGCTTAATTTCCACTTGTGAGACACAGCCAGACAACTCACATTTTCAGAAGGATACCAGCAATCACTGCCCTTATAATTCCTCATGATAGAGTCACTTTAGCTCCTGTACACAGGAAGTTACACGTTTTGTT